AAAACAAAACAGCTTTTTTAATTTATTTATTAATCATTTTATATATATATATATATATATATATATATATATATATATATATATATATATATATATATATATATATATATATATATATATAAATTAGTTTTTTACATTTTACACTGTGTTTCATCAGTAAAGACTCATCAGAAATGCTTTTTTGATGAAACATAGTGTAAAATGAAAAAAAATTTTGTTAAGTGATTTTTTCTAATTTATAATTGCTCTGTTCTTATAACACTGACCACTATATTTTGTAAAATACATTTTAAAATTGTTTAAATATATGTATATATATATATATATATATATATATATATATATATATATATATATATATATATATATATATATATATATATATATATATATATATATATATATATATGTATATATATATACATATGTATATATATATATGTATATATATATACATATATATATATATATATATATATATATATATATATATATATATATATATATATATATATATATATATATATATATATATATATATATATATATTATATATATACACAAAAAAACACTAGAATATAGCAGAAAAAAAAAGTACATTATAATACATAAAATTTATTTTTTTTAATTAAAGCTAAATTAAAATATTCAGACGGATTTATAAACAAAACTTTTTTTTTTAATTTTAAGATCATGGAAATAATGCTAAATGAGTAACGACTGATTCCAACAATTTAAATTAAATCACTGAACAAATTATTATAATACACACAATTTATTCATAAAAATTAGCAAGTTAAAAGATGAACTAACTAAATAATAAAGTGATCGTATAATTCGTTGTATTAATTTTTAGTATTAATATGTAAGGCCTTCGCGATAACTATATCACTAGCTATTTAGCGGTAAAATTAATTTTATAATTTGTGTTTAAAAGAATAAAATTGCTTTAAAATCTAAAAAGTACACATTAATAATAAAACTGCAAGGTATAAGTATAAAATAAATGTTTTTATAATTTTTTTGATTTTTTTTACCAAGGTAAAAAAAATCGAAAAAATAAGAAACATGAGGAATCGTAATCAGCCGGTAATGGAATCGTTTATTTCAATTTTCGGAAAATTATAAGAGAATTTCAAATTTTAAAATTAGTCGACTCTCGAAATCTCGACTCTCGATGTCTCGAACACCGGAAAAAAAGTTCGGGATATCGAGATTTGAGATATTTGGGATTTAAGATATCAAGGAAAGGGTTAAAAATAAAAAAAATCGTTCGGCTTTCATAAAAACAAGTTATGGTGGAATGCAAGGAGCGAACTTGAGTCAAGCTCGACTTGAACTTTAAATTGCATTCAATAGCGACAGAGTATGGGTTTTCCGTATTTTGAGCTGTATAGCGAAGCATTTTGAATCGTTTCAAAAGCAATTTCTAATTGAATATCAGATGGGCGTGGTGGGGCTTCGACGTTAATACCTTTGTCAACGCTATCTTCAACTTCACTATCGTCATTTTCAAAATTAGGGTCTTAAATCTGAGCAATGATTTCAGCATCAGTAGCAAGTGAACCGGTGTTTACTACATCGCAATTTAAATCAAATTAAGATTCCGCTGAGAGATCTTCTTAGACGGCACTAGGATCTAAACCTCGCGAACGGTTAAGTTTTTTTGTCAAAAATTTAAAAGAACAACCATCAGCAGCTTCTTCAATACTCTTGTTTGTTTTGCTGATACCGGCTTTTTTAAAGCAGTTGATGACAGTCTCCTTCAACACTGCATTCCACGTAGAAACAAGATCTTTCATTGCTTGAAATATAGAAATTTTTGGCATGAGTTTGTTATTATCGACAGCCTTGATACACAAACGCACAATTTTGTGACGATAATGAGCTTTAAGACTTCGTATTACGTCTTGATCCATGGGCTGAAAGACAGATGTGGTGTTAGGGGGGGGGGGAGGATATTAGGTTGATGTTGCTTAGCCTTTAAATGTGTTGGTGGGCAGAAGAGTTATCCATCAGGAGTTCTACTTTCCTGAATTCAGCACGAAAAAATGAGTCAAGTTTCTTACCCATTCTTTAAAAAGGTCTCCGGTCTTCCAACTTTTTAGCTGATTTTTATATGTGCAAGGAAGTTGTTTTATATGCTTAAAACACCGTGGGTTTTTAGATTTTCCCACGGGTACCCTGAAGGTGAACTAAGACCTTATATCAAGTTCCATGAAATTTTTTTTTGATTTCGAATATAGTACATTTGTACATTCTGAAACTATCAAAATTTAAATCATTTGTTGGTAGCTTTTTGAAAAAACTTATTAAGAAGTTTTATAAATTACGATGTTTTCGTATTAAAATAATATTTTTCCGTCAGCCATTATAGTTGTTTACTTTTTGTAATTGCAACAGAGCGATTGGGTATAATAATATTTATTAGTTTCCGATTGGCTTATAGTTGTTGTTGTTTTAAAAGACTTTAACAAGAGTTATTTGTTTTAAAAGACTTTAACAACATTTAAGCAATAACAGCGAGTTTATTAAATTATTTAAAAAAAAAAATTCTATTAACTTAAATTTAGAGCCGGGGCCAATGCTATACACAAAAAAAAAAGAAGTTTACCGTAAAACTCGTAGTTTTTTGCGTAAAAAGCGAAGAAAAAAAAAATCCATTGCTATAAACATTAAAAATAATCGTTTATACGAATAAAACTTCGCTAAATAGGCCAATGCTATAAACGAACAAGGGAATCACTTTTTTAGATAAAAAAAAAACATGTTTTTTCGATAAAAAAAAACATTAGGTAAACCTATGGATCTCAATTTTCTCGAGGTTTTTCCGCCATTCTAGCGCTTTAAATTTACAGTGTCTTTGTTTATTTTGCTTTTGGATTTTTATGTGCTAAACTAAAAAGCATTGTTGCTATGAAGTTTATACAACCCACAAATATATATAAAATTAATATAGACGTTTTGTATTGCGGTATTTTACGTATAAAAGACGCAATCAATAGGTGATCAAACTAAACATACCTAAATATATAGCTATTCTAAACATTATTTTCCACAAAGAAATTGGCAAAAAGTTTTCAATATTCCTTTGTTATGTTGTTAAACTCATTAATAAACAAATTACTTCTAAATTACATTAAATAGATGACTCTGTTCCGTGTTGTGTGTTGGAAACTACGTATGTATTTAACTTTTAATGATTTTTCAACAAAATTTTCAATGGTTATTTTGGTCAACTAAATTTATTTTAATGCTCGTCATAAAGAAATGTATAAGTAGGGGAGAGGGTGTATGAAAGAACCAGTTTTAGGGAGTATGAAAAAAAGTCAATTTTGATTAATTAAAAAAAAATATATTCTTCAATTAAACAGTTACGTTAATTGGGTAATATTATAAAATTGAAATAAATTGGATAACAATGCTAATAATCTGTCATACACCTATTTTAAAAAAAGAGAGAAATCAGCTCTTTCATAACATCTTGTTATGAAAGAGCCACTCTGTGCTATGAATGAGCCGTAACGTTTTTTCTAAAACTAAAATGTCTTTTAACAGTAATAATCTGTTAACTAGACTTCTAAAAATCAGATTGTACTTGAAGTTATATAAGTCTATGATAATCAATGATTAAACAAATGATAAAACAGCTTTAATAATAGTTTCATTATATTATAAAAAAATGCACTATATTATAAAAAAATACGTCGCTTTTCGTAGTAATACTTGTGAACACATATTTTTTTTGTTTTCACAATGCTTGTGATATATGAGTAAATATAATAATACAAAATAAGTTTTGACAGAATATTAGAAAGTTTGAAACAAAAATAAATTTCATTAATAATACTAATAAAGTTTTATTAAAAACTTTATTAGTTTTTAATAAAACTTTTACTAATAAAGTTTTATTAAAAACTTATTAGTATTAGTAATATTAGTAATATTAGTATTTGAATATATTTTTTAAAATTCAAACGCACCAACGTTTTCTGTCTTTAGGAAAAGTCATTCAAACAATTAATTTCAATAGAATATGATGAATGAAGCATTATGAAGTCGTTAAAGCGCAAAACAGTTATTTAGTTTTAATTTTTTTTTAATGCTTTTTCATAGCATAAAAAAGTGGCTCTTTCAAAAAATTGTATGGTAAAAAAAATAACCTAAAATTAAACATTTTTTGCCGAAACTTTTAATCTAATATTATTTGTGGAAAAGAAGGACATGTATATATATAACAATGCAGCATATATGTTTTATCATATAATAAAACATTCTTCAACTTAAAAATAAATAAGTAAACCTCAAAAAAATTACTTTTTATTTTCAAAATTTTTAGTGCAACCTTACGACGCTATTTATTTTAGTAGAACTCTAAATTTTTTGTGGGTGACAGGTATCCAGCATTGCCACACAAAAAGTAAAATACAATTATGGTCGGGTGCCAGTAAGTTAGATATCGGAAGCTTCGGGTAGGAGCTTTGTCACAAATATCGGAAAATAAGTCTAGCATTATGGGTTAGGGAAAACAAATAATTTTATCAAGTCGGGAACATATATATACATGAATAATCCTCAAGTTGCTGTGTTTTCTTGTTTCAAATAATAATATTTCACAGAGTTAAATTTTTTAGATACTTTTATATGAAGATATTAGAAGTTAAAGGTAATAAATCGTGCGCATGTTGAGAAAAATCGAGTAGTTTAACTAATATCTTCATATGGAACATACTTCCTTAGTATGTAAAATTTTAACTCTGTGAATTGTTTTTATTGTTATTATTATTATTGTTATTATTGCTATTATTATTATTGCTATTATTATTATTATTATTATACAGAAATAATTATACTTTGTGATAATTTTGATTTGATAATTACTAGTTATCAAATCAAAATTATAGTCTCCCAAAATAAAGTATCATTATGCCTGTTCACAACGATATTTTTCTGGCGGGTTTTAGTTTTAGTAATTTATCAAAATAATAAATAAAGAATTT